ATAATTGGCTTTCCTGTTACCAGAGAAGAAACCCTCTAATATAATTCTTTTATAAGGTTTACAAAAGGTAAGGTTGTGCAACTTCCTCTAAACCATAGACATAAATAAACTCTATGGAATCAGTGATATTACATTTTAACACTGCATTTGTGTAATGATGCTGTATACTCCCCTCTCTTGGGCTTCTTTTTCAATTTGTTTCAGTAAGAGAAACGTGAATGAGAGCAGGCTGTTCAGCTGGGAAGCATCTCCTATGAGACTGACCAAAAAAATCACCACTTAGTTCTGATGGTTTTACTATAGCTTGAATATATAATAATAATTTTGATCTCACCGTTTGAAGGGTTAATTTTTCAACAATATGTTTCAAAAAAATATCATTATATATATACACACACATACACACACACCCTGTATTCAGTTACTTTAATGGTCTGGGCTGTAATTGTACATGCTGGGTGTCTGCCACGGGCTGACATTTTTTTGAAAATTTCATCCACAATTGTTTGGCTGTTTCCAAAACAAGGTTGGGGGAAAATACATTGTTATGCTCATGTAAACCATTCTAATAATCTTTCCTTCAAGAAGATCTCGCACTCCCATGCTTTAGGGCAGGGACTTCAAATTTGTCAGGGAGGTGGCTTTTGTGCCAGGGACGTGCCCTTCACTATCCCTGAAAAAAAGCCGTCCACAGTTGGCCAAGTTATGACTTTTTGAAAAATCACAGTTCACACTTGCTCAATAGAGACTTGCTAGAACTTCACAGCTAAAAACTCCAGAGATTCTATCTGCACTCAGCATGCTCCAGCTCGGCTTCCAGCGGGGGGTGGAGGGGGAGCAGAACTTTCCCGCAATTGCAGCTGTGGACGGCTGTGGGTGGGTTGGGGACAGGCATCAGAAATGACAGCAGGGAGCCTGTCTCTCTTGTGCTCTCAATGTTTCCTTGTCACAGTTCTCGGGCTGACGATGGGTGCTTCCTACTGGACTGGCACTGAAAAGTCCTCAGGGTGCCCCCCTCTGCCTAAATAGGAGTCCCTAGGATTTCTGGGGATGGAGTTCTTGGCTCCCACTCCCCTAGTCCGTTTTGTCTGTTCTCAGCTTCTCTAATCCCAAAAGGAGTAGAGAGTAGCAGCACCAAGCAACTAATCAGCTTACCTTGGGGCTTGCCGGACCTATCTTACCTGGCTGGTATAACTGGGTCACTGTCTCCTTGTAAGCACATGGAGCAGGGGATGGTAAATGGCCTTCCCAAGGGAAGTTCCCATGAAGGCTTCCAGGAGTCTCCTCTGGGAAGTGTAGAGTTGCCATATGCTCTTTCCCACAGCTGTCCAGCAGCTGCTGGGAACTTCCTGTTTTTAAGCCTTTATTCCACCCTTGACTTGATTGACAGAGCCGGAGGGATGGGGCTAGCCTTGCCCACAGCAACTCTTTAAACCCTTTGTCACCAGTGCAGGGTTTATACACCCTGTCACACCCCCTTTTGGGTCCAGTCAATATGGAGGAGCAAGCTGCCCAATTCAAATGCAGAGGGAACAAGAGTTGTACCCAGAGGGTGAGGGAGAACTGAAAATGGTTGGACAAGGAGACTGGGATGGGGAGCTCAGAGGGGAAGACTGGGACTGAAAAGCCTGAGGAGTAGAGACTGGGATTGACGAGGTGAAGAGAATGGAACTGGAAGGAGGACACAGGTGGGGAAACGATAGGACTGAAACAAGGATAGGTTGGACAGGACAGAGCAGAATGGGTTAAGTTTGGGAGGAATGAACAGAAGAGTCTGTGCAAACAGGAGAACCACCCTTTAGTTCAAGAGACAGAGATCTGTGCAGTGGATATCAATATGATGCCATAGGATAGAATTTTTATTTTTGCAATTTGGTTTATTAAAAAGCCAGGAAATTACCCACAAATAGCTATATTGAAGAAATATTATTAAGGTGGCAAAGGCAAGCACTCAGAAGTTAGGAAATGCCAGAATTAAGATTGGCTGTGCAAATGAAATGAATGAAATGTAAGGGCCTGTGATATACAGAGGGTCAGACTAGATGATCTACTGGTCCCTTCAGGCCTTAAACTCTATGAAACTATTTCAAGATATTTGAATTAATCTATTGAAGCTGCTCCACATTTTGTATTTTTCAGTATCAGACATAACAGTGTCAGTCTGAATTATGGAGGAAAAGATAGCACACTAAAATTATAATAGTTTACATTATATTTTCAAGCAATAGGAAAATACTGACTGTTGTTAACTGCTAATGGTCCAAGGAACTATATATAATATGCAGGATAAAATCCGTATGTAGTTATTAACTATTGCGACAAAAAAATGTGTAGCTGTCCAGGATAATTTAGGGCTGTGCTGGACTACAGCTAAAATATATAACAACTAAATTAAAATTTGTTCAGATTTGACGAGACAACAGAATAAAGCCCATTTTTGGAATCTTGTATTTAATGTAAAAATAATTTGTTAGGATACGGATTTAGCTAGTTTATTTTTTTAAATACCTCATTCTTGTCAAGATAAATTAAAGGCCTCTGAATCGTTTGAGACTTTCAGAGAGAGGCAGAGTCAAGTTTGAAATCTGTTATCCACTGGAAGTCAAAATGCCACCCACCCACCTCAATGGGTGGGGGAACTTAATGGGGCTGGCGGCAAAGGAGGGGAGCTCCAGCAGCGAGGGTGGGAGACACATTGAGAGGCACCAGTTACCTCCTCTCCCCCCTGGAGTATCTGGCACTCATTGGCCAGCTGGGGGGGTGAGGAGAAGGACAATGTTTGGCTCACATCCCCGAACTCCAGGAATTTAACCTGAAGCCTGGGCCATGTGGGGCCTCTTTCATCTCCATTCCAGCAGCCCCATCCTCCTACCCATCCGGAGCTAAGAATGGGAATCCAGTCTGGCAGATGCTGTGGGTCTAGCTGTTCACACATTGAGGGTCAGGAAGGAATTTTTTCTTCCATATGGCCAGTTGGCAGAGGCTTGGAGAGATTTTTGCCTTCCTCACAGCACCTTGGAGCCACAGTAGGTTAAGCAGGAATGTACTTGCTAACTGAGATAGCTGGTTGAGTTATTAATTCATCAAAACTTGTGGCCAGTTTCCAGTGCCATTAAAAAGATAAAGTGAATGGTTCCCAGAGGTAAAAGACATGGGATTTTGCTGATGGGTCTTGGGCTAATGGGATAGGGTGAGACCTGGTGGCACTCATGGGCCAAGGTCCCCACCTTCTGCCTCTGTCCCCCTAATAGGGGCGGGGTTGGTAGGACTCAGAGCCTGCTGAGTCCTGGGGGGGTAGGCTGAGGAAATCCTACCCCAAGTTATGGGTTATATGGAAGGAGCCCTGTAACTGCTGTACTGGAACCACTTAAATGCCTGGTATAGGAGACCAGGAGTGATGGGTGGATAGCACCCCTCCCCTGTGTTAAAGTTTAATAAAAGTCATAGTCCTAAAATCCATCCACATGTCTGAATCTAAGGCATCAAATCGCTTTCAGAATGGCAGTTGTGTTTTGATCTAGATATCTGAATTGTATAGGTATGGCGCCAATGCTTTTCTTTACAAATATAGTAAGAGCACTCCCATCTACATCTGATTAAATTAGCTGTCATAAGCACTTGAAGAATGATATAATTAAAAGATGGCATTCTCAACCAGGGGGAACAGTAGAGACGACATCAGCACAATCACTAATTTAACATTCATTTTCACAGAGATGCACCAACGGCAGTTTTGCAAGACTATTACGGTGACAGACAAGATAGAGCATATGATAAAAAGCTGCAGTGTTAGCAGCTTTTTATAACAGATTGCGTGGAACAGTGCCCCTTCTGGGCTAAAGAACATGATGGGTCACTCCTTGAAGGGTTCACAGTACTACTGGTTACAACCTAATCCCTCCACCCCTTCAAGTAATAAGCAATTAACATAATTCTAGAATGAAAACAAGAAAAAAGGCTTAGAAATATTCTTGGTATCTTATCTAAGGCCTGAGACATATTAATCAAAGAAAAATACAAAAGGGTAGAAAAGCTTTTGAACAAATTTATAAGGGGAAAATGTACTTCAGTTCTTCCTGTAGGCTTATGTGAAATGAACTTGTTAGTCATCTTGGATGGGGGACTGGACCACATCGCAGTACAACCTAGTTTTGAACAATCAGGCATAATGAGCACATTTGTGCTTTTTATCTTTAATGTCTTTGTGTCTGGTCTGGGTGCAAAGCTTGGAAATTATCATCATCTACTTCTGAAGGTTTACATCCTTGTATGGGAACTTTTGTATTGATTTCAAACATCCTGTTCCAAATTGCAAGTTGTGTATCATTAAAATGAACTTAGAGAAATGGCTCTCTCTTTAAAGCATCAACATCTCCCTGAAAAAAACAATTCCTATTTTTTTTTAAATCAAGTTTAATTAATTTAGCTCTTGAATCTGTTTACTGCTTACTGGAGAAAAAGGAGAAATAGACACAATTCATAACTAACAAAACCTCATTGCATTTGCTAGCAGCTGAAAAATAACTAGGTTACAAAACTGACTTTAGTCACCAAGAAGAGACAATGACCAATGAAACTTCAGTGAACATAACATTGAATGATCAGTCATCCTCAGCCACTGAGTCATCTCATAAGAAAACAAAGAATTACATTCCATGCTCTTTAGTCTTCAGTTTTTAGAAGCACTCGAGTCCTCGTCATCATATAAGGCCAGATTCTCCCAGATTTACTCATGGTGAGCAGTACCTTACTAAGCAAGTAGTCCCACTGAAGTCAACAGGACAAGGCACAACTCAATGAGAGCAAGTCTGGTATAATATGATATCTGTAGATGACCATTGGCTATATATCATGCCTACACAATTGTTAAAAAAACAGCAGCTTAACTGTCCTATTGCTTATTTTCTAATCACCAGTACAATTTTACATGTGTGGATTCTTGTACTGATTAAAAACCTTCTGGCCATTAGCTTAGCTTTATATTTCAATATAAACATTACCTTTTACAGTCACATGTACACTCTGGCTTGTAGACAGCTGGGGTTGAACCAGAACATTGCATGTATATTCCCCCTCATCCACTTCCTTCTGCACATCTGAGAGTTTCAGCGTTCCATTGTTTTCGAATGCTACTTGGCGATGGTTAAAAGGAAGCAGGTCTGAGTTCTTGTACCATTTAATGGAGTAATATGGATAGCCAATCACACGGCAATGTATATAGGTGTCCCGTCCTGCTATTGCTGTGATATTTTTCATTGGACGGATGCTTGCTGGCCCTGGAAAAGTACAAAGAAACTCTTAAAAATAATTTAAGGGCATATTTGCTAGAGGAAATATTCATTTTTTGCTGATTATATAAATGTTTACAACATCCATTAATGTAGCCTGCATAACATTTCTTCTTAACATTTGACAGTTTTTGCTTTTAAGAACCACTTAAGCAGTCTTCCTAATCTTTATGTGCTCTAGTTTCTCTCGCCCTACAGCATACATTCTAATTAGGGCTGTGGTATATGTTTGTATTATTGAATACTTGTCTGATAAAATCTTTGCTGCATTACAAATTGAAGACTAGGGAATGATTTAATTAAATGTCAAATACTAAAACGTATGCTAAGCTAGAATCCTGTTACACATGAGAACACTGACAAAGTTAGCATTCATTCTGATGTATATAAAATATAATATCATGAGGATGGGTATTATGCCATGTAGAACTACAAGTTCAAGCTAACGTACCATGTGCATGAGTAATTACAATGAATGTAGGACAACTAAAGGAGGAGAGGAAAATAAGAAACACATGCATGCAAAAACTAAAATAGGAAAACATATTAGTGAGGACGCTAACCCTCATGCTTGAGGAACATAAGTTTAGGGAAAGAGATTGTATAACAAGCTGACTTCACAAGCCAAAGAGGGAAGGGGCCTTCCAACCTTAAACCATACAACAGAGTTTCTAGAGGGGGTTGAGGGAGGTGTGAAGATGAGAGAACCACAGTAAGTCAGTTTCGGCATTCCAAGATTCAAACCAGTGCATGCAACAATCTTCTCCACTACAATGAGTTATGTGTGTTTTTTTGAGGAGCTGATTTGACAAGCACCTCTTACGTTTATTCGAGCCTGGTACAGGATGACTCCAGCAGAGTTGTTGGCAGTACAGCGATAGACTCCCCCGTCTCGAACTTGAGTGTTAGAGATATTCAGGTAGCTGACTACGTTGCCCTCAGAGGTGATAATCTGGCTGATACGGTGATTACCATCTTTGATTATGGGATCTTCATCTAGTGTCCAGGTGATTGTAGGCAGAGGAGTCCCCTTCACATTGCACATAAGGGAGACAGGTTCTCCTGGACTCACCACTTTCTCACTGAAGGCAGAAATGATTTTGGGAGTTCCATCTGAAGAGGAAACGGAAAGCAAATGAACAGCATGTATGCACAATAAAACTGCTCTCACTAACTTTGTTTAGCCCATAAACCAAGAATTCTGAAAGGGACGCTAACCCTCATCCTTCAGGAACATAAGCCAACCTCTAATTAATGAAGGTTAGGAAGGATTTTTCCTGTGGACAGCTTATCTAATAACTGCTTACTGCAGGGTTTCTTTTGCACCTTACTCTAAAGCTTCAGGTACTGACCACTGTTGGAGAGATGATACTGGACTAAATGGACCATTGGTTTGTTCTGATATAGCAATTCACATGTTCCTGTGAAAAAGGCGTGGATGCCATAGGCAATTGAGAAGCCAAAGAAGTAGAGTGTAAGCCTAAGATGGGGTTTGGGGATATATTTATTATACATTTCAGTTCCTTTGAAAGTTAAGGACGAATAATGTTGGCCAAAGCCAGGCGTAACTTGTGTATGCTAATTCCACACAGCTCTGCCAATTCAGTTCAGTCCTGCAATATCTCTTTTATACCAGTATTAAAATAAGCCTTTTCCAAATATAAATTGCTACTCATGCTGATGATGACAATTTTTGAGGTAGGTTAGTGTTGTACACAAATCTACCAAGGTGGAGAGGACACCAAATATATTTTCTTGTGACCCATGTCACAATTTAACCGAAGTCTCCAAGGTGCAAGCGAGAAAAGAAAAGGTAAGGATTTTCAAAGTATGGAGTAGAATTAAATTATTCTCTAACTGGATAGCACAGAAGGGTAATGGTTTTAACAAAAATGACACCCTATTATTATTTAGAAGATTCTTTCCCAGATTTTGCAACACAGTACACTCTTTCTGTTGTTCTTTTTTAAATTATGGTATACTTTAAGAGTGGTGTTTAGAATGGATTTAAATATAATTGGGGGTAAGAATGCATCTGGTTCAGCTCATAATATGTAGGAAGCAGTCTAGTAAGAGGTTTAGAAAACAATTCTGTATACCACTGTCTGGATCTAATGCATAGTGGGGCCAGCCAATTAGTTTTAAAGTTGAGAAAATATTAGCATCAGCAAAGACTATAAGGGGGTGGTTTAATCACAGTATAAAGAACAGCTTAAGCCTCTTGAAAACCCCTCTCTTCCCACCCAGTGGGCTTTGCCCTATGGGAATAACTCATTTTAATTCCATACAAGATGTAATGGGGAAGGACATCAGTGACAAGCATCAGTAACTCTAATGTTGTGAGAGAATACGTAGTGCACTCAGCACATTTCATGGAGGCTCAGACCAGCATAATTCCATTGGAAATAGCCTCTCCTTACCTAGTAATCTCAACACAGGAGCACACAGAAAACTGAGGGAGATCTCGTGATGTGTGTGGAGCTTGAATTGCTATCCCCACAAAATGTGCTGAATCTCAGCAGGATTAAAAAAAAAAGTACAGCAGTGTTCTCTCTCCCCAGCACAATCACCTAAGAGCATCAAAATGATAATTTCCAGTACATTGAAACACCTACATTTCAGCAGGGACATTAGGTTGGGTTTCTTATATATTTTTTTCTCTCTCCCTCTCTCTTTGTTCCTGTCCTATTGGATGCGTGACAGAGTATTTAAAATTTCTTTCTTCATCTCTGACTCTCTCTCTTCCTTTCCTTTTCCATGCATTTGCACTGTCATCTCTCACAAGACAAAAAAGCTATCAGCTTTTTATCCTGAATGGAAACTGACACACGACAAATAAATCAGTGAGTGCGCTCAGTATGCACCTCTGCCCTTTTTTTATTCAAGTGACAGGCTTTTTTGGAGATGAAAGCAGACATTATTTTCCCAGCAAGACCCGAGTGTCTTTGAAATCTTTCCTGCTGTCGCTCTCTGATAACCTGCACTCTCTCGACATCATTATAGATTATCAATATGCTCTTTAGGCTTTCTTAGTCACAAGAGATGGTTGCCGAGGTAACTAGGTCCAAGCAGGTAATCTCTTCTTTTTCTATAAAGACTAAAAATAGTGGCCATGCCATGACTGCACTACAGCCTCATTAGTGAACCGGCTCTGTACAAATTGATTACTTTCCTCACTTGATTATTATGTGGAACATTGTGTCAGTTACTTAGGATGATCTCCAGACCTTCAACTGATTTCACAACCAGCCTGAAAACTGTGTTTGGAATGAAATGTTTGATCCTCGGTAGGGATCTCTCTTCTCTCTTGTCCTGGAGTTACAGAATTTTGGATAGCAGCAAAAAATTAACGCATTTGGTGGGGCTTCAGTAGGAGGGATATTTTTCAAATAAATTTCTTTGACACCTGGATCCTAATTTCCTCTCATTTGTTGTTCTGGAGCATGGAGAGGCACAAATATCCCTCAAAGTGTGTGGCTAGTTTGATCCTTCCTACAGGCACAGGGTCTTCTCTCTCTTTATAATTGGAGACCACAAGCATATTGTATATACTATATACATACAATAACACTTCACTGTAGCCAGTAACCCCACTAAAGCAAGTAATGACTAACCTTCTAGCACCACCTGAACATAGTCTTGAGCAGACATCTTGTCCTTGCGTACAAAGCACTGGTACGCTCCACCATCACTTTTGGCCATGCGATCCATAATGAGATTCTCATGGTTGATCCCCATGATCCTCACGTTGTTTCCAGGGTTGATGATTTCACCATTTCGGTACCAGGAGAGTTCTTGGTCCTCAGTTCCAGTCACACTGCAGGACAAGGACACTTGACTACCAACACTGCTTTTAACTTTCCGTGGACTGATTGTGGCTTTCAGAGGCTCTGAAGATTTAAGTCAAAAGGAGGGGGGGAGGGGGAAAGGAAGACATTATGTATCTTTTAAAAAAATATGACTAACAGGTGACCTGTCACAGAGAAAAAATACTGAATCACAAATACACATCTCTGAAATGAGAATAGGTGACCATGTTTGATTTCAAAGGCCTTTTAAGGCCACAGTCCCACAATTAGTTCTGCACAGGCAGACCCCTATACCCAGCTGGAGTCCCATTGCCATCAGTGGGGCTCTGCCTGGATTCAAGGGTGCCTCTGTGTGGAACTCACTGTGGGATAAGCACACAAAGCAGTAAGATAGCCCACCTGACTTTATTCTCAGTATCACCATTTAAGAATATGATGATATATTTTTATTGAAGTTTGATATTATGTGTGAAAGAAAATTCACAGTATTGAAGTAACAATAGTAAACACAAGGAAGGGAGTCTTTATCCACACACATACCAACAACTAAAGCTACTGAATTTGGATCCGCATCTCAACCTCCCTACATTTTGATTGGGCCCAGTACATATATAACAGACCACCATGAAATTTATATCCAGATGGGATTCTTCCCCAGGATTTTTGTTCAATACCAGCTCTATCAACAAGAAATAATTCAAAATATAATACATCTCTTTTATCATCTGTAGATATGTGTTATGAATCAAATGTGATGAGATATTGTTTATTTAGCATGTTTAATGACCAGCATTGTACCTAATATTGGATGCGCTATCAATATTACTTATTTATTTTACATCTCTCTCTCTCTCTCTCTCTCTCTCACACACACACACACACACACAGAGCTATAGATATAAGATGTTATACTATATTCTGTAAAACAGATGAGTTAAATAAATAATTATATATGATATTTTATACATACATACACAATTCCTTAGTTAACTTAATTCTGCTTTAAAGAATATTGTATAATATGATAATGGAAATGTTATTATTATTTCTCTATTGAGGATTGCTAGATATTCCTGGTCTGTTACGAGCCTGTACAATATTAAATGGATCTGATTCATCTACCTGTTATGAATGTTTTACAAATGTAGCCATCTTTTTAAATTTCTGAATCATTGATAAAAGATCCTTATTTCCTTTGGATGTATTTGTTATTTGTAATTATTTACTGAATAATTTTTAGATGATGGATTGTTCACACACTTTTCCTTTTCACAATTTCTTATTCATGTTGTGTGGTTGCAAATCTAAGTCAAATGGTATTGTTTCTGTTCCTTTATACCAAAAAAATTAAACAACAGAAGAATAACAAACAGCAAACAGTCTTTCCAATACAGCATTTCAGACTAATAATCATTTATGATAAAATTCATGAGACATTCAGGATTTGCATACATTTTCATGAATACTCAGGGATTATCTGAATATTCAAAATAATGAATAGCAGAAACCCCAGTGACCAGAGCTTGACACTTTTATTCAGAAGACTGTTTGCAATTCATCCACTTCTATTACTAAGCAAAATACATCCTTTATGTGAAAAATCACATAACCATGTGATAAACTGTGTTCATTTTGCACTTCTGATCTCTCATCTGCATTCTGCCCGCTAATCCATCTCCACTAAGACAGTTTATAACATTCCAAACCTTTGAGCAGCTTCAAGGAGCCACCATTGACAATAACAAAACAAGTAACAGCAACAAAAACAATAACAAAAGAAGCTTCTACAAAATATTTCCTTCTTTTCCTTCCATTGCAAAACCAAGCACAATCATGGGTTTGAAATTATACTTGCCACATTCAGTTCTGGACTTACGTTTTACATGTAGATGCCCTATCACCTCAGCAGTACCATAGTTGTTCCACACCTCACAAACGTAGTTGCCTGAGTCCGAAGGACGTGTGTTCTCTATCAGCAGACCTGTGACTGTCTGCCGAAACCTGCTATCTGGCTCCCAGGGAACGTTGTCCTTCAGCCAACGGTACTTTGGTGCTGGGTGCCCTGATGCTTTGCAAGGCAGCTCCACTCGCTGTCCTGCCATGGCTTTACGTTGGTCAAACCCATCCAGAATAGACGGTGCTGAGTTTGCTGGGTCTGGAAAGCAAATAGATGTTTTCAGTGTAGTTAATTAAGATTATTACATTTTCTAAGCAATATGCTGCTATTTATCTTCTTTTTTTTAGTTGCTATCCCAGAATTTTATGTACTGTAAACTGCTACTGTGCACCCGTCATCCAGATTGTGGTATCTCAGCAGTACTGGCTTACATCCAGCAGCATGTACTAACTAAACATTGCATGATTACTTGGAAGACCTCCCACTGGATTTTTTCCAGGTGGCAGTCATTCTTCACGTCACCCATCAGGAAAGAGAAGAGCCAGAAAGTGTAAACACATTTCACCTAGAACTAAACCAATATATTCCACCTGCTTCTAAGTGGTCGGAGGGTTTTGAACTAGAAGAGTGAATTATTCCCTTGTCAGAAGAGAAATGGGCAGAAGCAAGGGGCGTGTAGTCTAATTGACAAATATTGTATATTCTTAAAAAGGAATCTTAGATAGCAAAAGTAAACTAGAGCTTATAACTCCAGCAAACTGCTCTTTGTTCAGGTTCCCAGGAAGACTCTCTCACACAAACAAGTCCCAACTGCCATGTGACTGTTGTTATTTCTATTCTAGAGAAATGTGGCACATCATGCTTCGATACCTTCACCAAACATAACGATCTATGTGTTATGTCTTGTTTTTTAGCCCGTAAGCTCTTTAGGACCAGGAGCTGTCATTTTCTTATGTTTGTGCTTCATGCTGTACAATGGGGCCCAACCTAACTGAGGCCTCTAGGCACTACCACACAATTCATGTTTATTACTACTGCTACTAACATAAAATAAAATAAATAATTATTATAATATCAAATATTGACTTAAATGAAGCTATTTTTCTTATATCTTAACCAATTTTGCGACAACATTTTAACCATGGTAGACTCCACATGTTAAACTTCCCCCTCTCTCTCACCTAGCATATGTTGATCTATTTGTTGCACTCCATCTGCTGTGTACTACAGAGTTGTTATGCAAGTTATAAAAACAGTTCTAAAATTTAAAATACCATTAGACTGCAAACAAATGGACTAAGCAGTCACCCATGTTAATTTTATATAAACAGTTAGTAAAATGTGAATTGTCAGGTTTAATCAAAGATAACCACACAATCTTTGCCTCTATCTGGATGCTAGCAAAACACTTGAACCACTATAAACTGGTTACTAACATTTCCGTAACTGTTGTTCTTTGCTGCCTCATGTATTGCACACAGCTATAAAGGGCAGAATTGTCCCTGAACCCCCTCAGTTCCTTCCCCCCAGAACACTCCGATAGAGAGGGGAAGGAAAGCAGGGTCTGGAATGGACATGTGCAACACATCTTGAAGAACAACAGTTACAGAAAGGTTATTAACTGTTTCTTCTTCTTTGAGTGACTGCACATGCCCATGCCACTGTAGCTGACTCACAAGCAACCCCAAGTGCAGGTGGGTTCAGAGTCTATGTGAACAGGGACTGGAGGACCACTCATCCAAATTTAGCATTGTCTCTAGATTGTTGGGAGATGGCGTAGTGAGAGGTAAATGTAGGACAAGATGACCAGGTTGCTGCTTTGCAAATGTCTAATATGGGAATGTTAGCCAGAAAGGTCACAGAGGCTGCTTGGGACCTAGTCAAATGACCCAACACTCTATCCAGAGGCTTCATGTTAGCCAACTTGTAACAAAAACAAATACAACTGGATATCCAAGACCAGATCCTTTGAGTGAATACAGAACTGCCCTTCCTTCTGTCTGCAAATGCAATAAACAACTGAGTGGGAGACCTGCAAGGTTTAATCTGATCCAGATAAAAAGTGAAAGCTCTTCTAACATCAGAGCATGAAGGCTCTCCTCATCTGATGACTATGATGCTTTGGAAAGAAAGTCAGCAAGAAGATTTCTTGGTTAAAAGTGGTTTGAAAAGTGGAAACCACCTTGGTAAGAAATTTTGGGTGATGATGGTAAACTTTTTCTGTGTAGAAACATGTATATGGAGGATCTGACACTAGCGCCCTGAGCTCTCCCAGTCTTCTGGCTGGTATAATGGCCACTAAAAAAAGGTACATTCATCAAAGGATGCAGCTGGGAGCAGGTCAATAGAGGCTTGAAGTGGGGGGAACCCATCATCTTTGCTAAGACTAGATTCAGGCTGCATGGGGGAGCAGCATTCTGCACATGCAGAAATAGTCTGTCCAGGCCCTTTAAAAGTCTTACAGACATTGGGCTGGAAAAAGAGATCAGTTAGCAATAGGTGGGAATGCTAGGTTAGACATTAGGGGAGGGATATCTCAGTGGTTTGAGCATTGGCCTGCTAAACTCAGGGTTGTGAGTTCAATCCTTGAGGGGGTCACTTAAGAATCTGGAGCAAAATCAGTACTTGGTCCTGCTAGTGAAGGCAAGGGGCTGGACTTCCAGTTCTATGAGATAGGTATATCTCCATATATTAGCTGCACACTGATTGAGCTAATCTCCAACACTTGGTGTTTTAGGGACAGAAGATAGTCCAGCATGTGCTTAATAGAAGCAACCCTTTCAGTCTGGATCAAATGGAAAATCTCTTTCATTTAGCCAGGTAAGTGCTCTTACTGGTTTTGTACTATTCAGCAGCACCTCCTGAACTTCCCTAGAGCAGGACACCTCCACCAATGTCAACTGGCGGCTGGTCCCATTCCCACTCTTCTTGGGATTGCTCATGAGAAGAGTCCTGAATTTGCTTGGTGCTGGGCTCAGTACCAACGCTAAGTTGTTTGCGGCATTGATGCTCCTTATGGCCAGTAGATGGAGTTGGCTGAGATGGATGCAGAGATGCTCTTGATTGAGGGGGAAACCCTCAATCCTTCTCAAAGCAGGTCCTAAAGCCCTTACAGATGCTACATCTGTCACTTACGTGAGCCTTCCCCAAGCACTTAAAGCAGCTGAGGTGAGGGTCCCTAATCAGCACTGCCTTACCACAAGAGTGGCAGGGCTTGAAGCCCTGAGAGTGCAGCATAACTCCAGTACCAGGGCTGGTACCCAGATTAGGCACCAGAAACACACAAACAACAAAAAAACCTATTTTTTTCTTTTTCAACTAATCTACGCTAACTACACAGATTCTCAAAATGGTACTGCTTCTACACTAAAAGAAAAGACTTGCAGAATCAATATAAGGGAGCTCCAGCAACTGTCATGGGAAGTAGGAGGGAACTAAGAGTGTGTGTGGGTGGGGTCAGGGTGGCTCAGCCCTTTATGCCTGCGTGTGGTGCACGAGTCAGCAGAAAGTGCTTGTGCCACCCCAATGGGTATCGCCAGAATAAAAAACTCTACAACAGCTGTGCCATGGAGCACACAAACACCTACAGTGGAATGGACATGTGCAATCACTTGAGGAAGAACATCAGTTCTACAGCATGCTTTCACCAACCGTAAGCTCTACCATCCAAACCAATGATTTTACATGCATCAGTAACCATTGGGTCTATCTTTGGCAACAACACCTATAACATTTGTTAGCATGCCGTGCTGTGCATGTGCGGCTTTCAGAAATTACACTTTCCCTGTAACATTTTAGAAAAGCTGAAAGCAATCATAACAAAATGGTTAACCTGCTCCCACTTCATCTCTGGTTTGTAGTGTCAGACTGCAGCCACAACGTGAAGATGTTGTGTAACAAGAGTTTTCTGTATATATCCTGTTTGGCATCCCGCTGCCTCAACTTGGTTTTGATGGAGTTAACTCAGGAGAAACGCAAATATGGATAGGATGCTAGTAATGGTCCCTAAGATATGCTGACACTTCAGTGGACTGTTCAACATAGCATATATTTAAGGAGCTTCAGATGCACAGTGGTCTTCTCTGCTACTAAATGAAGTAAGGATGTGGTCTTAATTCCACCAGGGATGTGCCTGGGATGGCTATAGGAGCTGCATGGAGTGATACAACATTTTATATGCTTTCTAACCAGACTCAAGAGGACACTAACCTGTACATTACCCCTGATGTGTGCTATTTTATGGGCATTTAATCAAACCACAAAGCTGATGAGTTGTGATGCTGCTGCTGTCAACCAGATGATATTGTCCATCATGATGCTGGAGTGGAAAAAAGATCTGAGGCCCATCAGAACAAAAAAGGTAGATGAAGTAGCACTATCATGAGGGTGCAAAATACAACAGATGCTACAGAGTAACTGAGAATCAGTGATGAAGTGAGAAGATCATAACATACTGGCCACCTTAAGTCAGTTTGTTTAATTTTTTTAAAACTGATTTTATAACTTTTTTAAAACTTGGAAGTGACTTTTAAAATACATCCTGGTTGTGATTGTCAAAGCTACTTAAGGGACTTAGATGCCCATGTTCCACTAAAACGGATGAGTTTTGTGATAATAGGGCCTGCAAATTTACCCTGATTGTGAGCCCAACTGTAAAAAGTGAGTGTAAGTTCATGAGACGTCACAATAACCCATAACAACAATGTTTATGGAAAAGGGTATGAAAAGGAGACAAAGACTGAATTTTTTTAAAAGGCCTACTGATATTACTCAAGCACTGTGTGAAGATCATATTTGGTAAATAAGAAAAGTGAACCATAATTGGTGTGTCAGAAACTAGGCCTAATTGTTGACAAAATAATGAGGGTACAGGTTATTCCATTCCTCTGTTTGCGGGTCCTTAAAGAAAGAGACTTTGGGGAGAAAAATTGGCTACTAGAGCAAGTTTCACCATTGTGGCTGACACTCTCCCTATCTCCTGGGACCCTGGGCCTTTGTAATCCTAATCCTGAGAGGTCCTGATCAGACTGGGCTAGAGAGAGGGACCCAGATGACATCACAACCTCTACTGGCTCCAGCTGAATCCCAAACACCACCTAGGTAGATCTGAATAATTTTTCTTAAGTGTTTCCATCCCTCCTCTACAAGTTGCATATAAAATGGCTACACATTTTACAGGAAATTCTACTTTTTTGTTTGTTTGGTTTGGTTGCCACTTTTGTGCAACACTATTAAAAAGCTTCCAGGAGCAGGAGGTTTTTGAATAGATGTTTTCAGTTTCAAAGGGTTTGATAGGTCTGAGTGGTAGTTTGCAACCCCCTAAAGTGCAAATCCATGAAGTGGCATTCAGACCTTGAAACATGACAAGGATCACCTATTCAGATTCAGGGAACTAAAGAAGTGGATTGAGGAAAAAAAAGAGATCTAACATACCAGAGTCCAACATGCGTGTGCTTGCTTCATGGAACAGTTATTCCCTGTGGCACATGCACTGGTTTACAAAGCATGTGTGGTGGAGGAGATAATATAGATATAGATAATATAGATCCATTTTGGGATGTACAAAATAAAACTAAAGTGACCCCTCTTTCTTGCATTCTGTTCCAATGTATTCAAGTATCTCTTCAATAGCCATATTTTCTCATAGGCTAGTCCTCAAAAAGATTCCTGGTAGGAGCTCCTACAAAGCCGTTAGCCATTTTTCAGTTAAAAACAGAAAGGAAAAGAGGAAAAGAAACCCAATTCTCTATTTGTAATCACCTCCAATAAAGTAAACAGGAAAGCACTATATCCCAATTCAAAAATCTAATGAAAAACAAACTGCAACAACCTCTTTAAAATATTGTGATTCAGCAGTCAGCTGCAGGAGGCTGTGAACAAGGACAATGGAAAATTGAGGCAAAACACTGTGTCTGACACGGTTTGGCTGTGGATTTTGTGTGTGTGTCCTGTTCAAACAAAGTCACTGGGAGGTGGAATTCTGTGCGTGAAGCTAGATTCGGCTCTTGGTTACACCCCAGGGATTTCAGCAGGATTGCAGAAGTGTAAATGAGAGCAGAAGTTAGCTTTTCAAGGGTGTAATGAAATATTGCCCTACTCCCTCATGCAGTCAAGCTAAAACTGAACCAGTGGTAATCTGTAATCAAGCCATTATCTTGACCAGCACAGGAGGATTTCTACCCCGGTTGCTTCCTGGAACAAGCGGGAGAGAGGGCTTTCTGCCTGTTCCATCACTTATGCCTTCTTTGAGCAGCCCAGGGGATATACCTCTACATGGAGCTCCCTTTCCTGCCCAATTCAAAAGCCCCAAATGCTGACGTTAAAGTTCTGTGCATTAGGATGCACCAGACTTCCCACAACGCTGTGTGTGTGGAATTGGGCAGGAAAGGGAACTCCATGTAGAGGTATATCCCCTGGGCTGCTCAAAGAAGGCATAAGTGATGGAACAGGCAGAAAGCCCTCTCTCCCCCTTGTTCCAGGAAGCAACCGGGGTAGAAATCCTCCTTTGCTGGTCAAGATAATGGCTTGATTACAGATTACCACTGGTTTAGTTTTAGCTTGACTGCATGAGGGAGTAGGGCAATATTTCAGGGCTGAATGGGAAGGATGGAAATCAACTTTTACTGTTAAGACCAAATAGTTGGGATAACCAGAGAGACCATTGTGCTGGACTTATATTTCCTCATCTGGCTGGAAAAATTAGGGGTGAGTGTTTCAACCACATGGGCCATAGTACAAATAGCAGGACTCGAATAGTGAAATACTTCTGGATTGTATAATGAAATAATATTTAGCATTTACATACTGATTTATATTTTCAAAGGGGCTGACCAATCATTAGATAACATTCACAGAAGAAAGGGGAACAGTAGGTTTGATCCTTTTGCAAGTCTTTGTGACCTAAGATCTCAGTCACAGTTGACAAGCTGCAAGAAGTGAAGATTTGAGGATTTAATCACCAGATTTCCCTCATAAAGGATTAATCCCAGGGAAGGAGAATGAGTCCTTCAGTTATTTGCTTGTGACAGTTGCTATACCCAGAATGATCTGCAGGGCTATGACCACAGCTGTTAGATAGTGAAAACAGGTAATTGCTACAATGCCATAATTAGAGCGTCTGTTTTCAAGTTTATTAATTTCATTTTTCAGAATTTATTTTTAGCAATTTTTGAGTTTTATGTGGATGTCCAAAAATCAGGGGCAGGTGGGCTTTCTTTTTGTATATACTGTAATGAGTAATCTCTTTGTAATATTCTCTAGCATGCTGTAATGTAGTACTGTTTCAGATAGCACTACGTTAAAGCACACCAGTGAATCTTTAGTGAGCACCTGCCAGGTCTATACTGACTAATTAATGCACACCACATTAATGCACTTTAGAAATCACACCCCTGTATCCGCATTACTGCTCCATGTAGACAAACCCTTAGATATAAGTACCCATGTCTAGTGTTTATTGGATAAACACCAAATTTCTTTCTTTTTTTTAATGAGAGATATATGGGTGTTTTATCAGTGTTTATAAATTAAAACCGGGGAAAAAAACACCCAGAAACCGTAGTTATAACCCATGCCATATGCATCAAAAAGGAAGGATAGCCTCTTGGGGGCTGGGAGGGGGAGAGGCTGTGCACTTATAGTCTGGGGCACAAAAGCAGATGATTTTGCAGATGTGTAATGATTTTTGGATACAGAAACAGACATGTACAAAGACATTCACACACACAAACACACACACACCCATTAACCATCAGAGGAGGGAGGTTTTGGAACAGCCTTCCAGTAGCAGTAGTGGGGGCAAGAAACCTAGCTGGTTTTAAGATGGAACTTGTTACATTTATGAATGGGATTACATGGCAGGGTTGCCTGCAACAACAGGGGACTGGATTCAGTGACCCAGAAGATCTCTTCAAGGCCTCTGTTTGTAAGTGGGGGTTCTAATCCTATGCTGTCGCACTAAATCCCAGTCCTAGCAACCATTGTCTCCTCTCGTCACTCTCAGTTCCTTCCCGGTTCCCTGTATTAAGACTGGGAACAGAGGGTAGGATACAGGGGACATGGAGGAGGGCAGTATTGACAACCCCTAGTGTTCCAAAATCACTAGACATACAACAATTGTGATACTGGCTTTAAAATAATGAGATTGTAAAAGAAAAATAAAACACACTGCTCTATGATCTGCCTTCTCATTTGTAAGCCTGCAGGGTGAAGACACCTGGATGCAATTTAAATATGATCACTGACTCCTGCTTTCTAACCTGACTGCTGACACTAACACCCTTGGTTAAGTCACTTTCCCTTTTTTCTTCAATTATGCCCTTTGGAAAACTTAGGATAGTAATGCATACCTGTTTAGCTAATGGAAGTGACGAGTTAATGTTTGTAAAGCACTGTAGACCTACTAAAATTCACCAAAATACACACTAAAGCCTAGCTGATATCCCCCCACCCCCATGTTATTTGGAGAAGCATTACATTTTTTATGCAGCTTGCATGTCCAATTTTGAAAATAGCTTCTTTTTTGGACATGCAAATTTGTTTGCATAATTCAGCCAAATCCCTGGACAAATTTTACTGCCCGACCTCTTTTTCAAATTTTAGGGCCATGTATATTTAATTACCAAGATACAGGAAGGTGGAGTTTCATTTTTAACTCTCTGTTTCCTAGCTTTATCTGCTTTTTACTCTTTGTGCACACTAATTAGGCAGACTAATACCTCAGCGATAGTTTGAAATGATGGCACTGAGTGTTGCATTCACAGGGCCAGTGGCTAAAATAGGGTGACCAGACAGCAAATGTGAAAAATTGGGATGGGCGTGGGGGTAATAGGATCCTATATAAGAAAAAGACCCCAAAATCGGGACTGTCCCTATAAAATTGGGACATCTGGTCACCCTAGGCTAAAATAAAATGGTTAAATCATGAATATTGCAGAATGGGAGCCATCTCAATCAATATTTACTAGAAAGTAGAATAATAATAGCAAGTGAATCTTTCAAGCTACAAGAGGAAAAGACCACGTGCCTCTAAATGTATATTACTCATGAAAGGGCCATTTGAGAGAAAAAAAAGTTCAGATCTTACTGTAGAAAGCAACATAATTTTGTGGATTAAGAGCCAGGAATTCCTGCGTTTTTATCCCAGTTCTGAGAATGAATTGCTGTGTAGCCTTGGACCTGTAGCTTCTATATTTTGAGGGAATAGTTTACATTATAGCATTCTGGACAGTATTTTCCACATAGGATATAACAGAAAATAAATAATGGAAAAAAAATAGAAAAAGCAACTTAAATTTATAATGTTTCACTTCTACAGGAAAAGTACTGTAGATTCTTACCTACTTACATGTGTATTTAGTTTGCTAGACAAGTGATTATTAGAACCAGTAGTTCCTGCCTTATCAGTTCAGTATGCTAGAGAGAGAAATATATAGTATGTAGTTTAAGAAATTCCAGAGTACCTGATACAAAAAGTCTTGCGCTGTTGCTTTGTCTTGTTTCTCCAGTGTATCTGTGCCGTGTGATACATCGGTAGTTATACAATCCATCTTCATTCTGTACATCTACAATATACAAGGCTCCCGTGGATGTGATGAGAAATCTAGATCCTGAAAGACACAAGAGTTTACAGTGTTCAAAACACCTGAAGATTTTTATTATTGTTTTGTCTTCTGAGATAAAAAATTGAAGTTTTCCTCATAAGAGTCTAGAGATAATGTGTTGCCAATCTTATATTTTACAAAGTGTCCATTTATGAATGCCAATCTTGAAATTAATTCAGGTGGATTTCTTATAAAAGTACAAGAATATATATGAAAAGTATGACATATGAATATAAAAGAAAGATATCATTAATTCATAATCATTACAACACCATATACCAAAAAGGTGTTTTAAATAAAATATAGGAGGGAATTGGCTAATATAGAATTTGAGCCAACTACTTTAAATGTCAAAGAGTATTATTTTATGCTAGTAATTTACCTGGGGAATGATATACATTACAATAATTATTTGGGAGGATATGCATAATAAAACAATATTAAACCAAATGGTCTCATTGTTCAGAAGCACCAGAAAACAAACAGAAAATTTTCAAATAAGATTGTGAGGAAAAGGGAGACTGTAGGGAGCCAGGGTGGCTGCCCTCCGAACCGGAGGTAAAAGGGCCTTTCTCTCAGCCGGAGTGGGCGGGGCCAGCCCAAGCTAGCTCCACCCCCCGGAAGGGGAGGGGTGGAACAGGAAGTATAAAGGGCGGGGCCCTTAGCTCAGTCAGGGCAGCACCAAGGAGGGAGGCAGACGCAGACCGCGGGCTGCTCCCTTCAGATCCTGCTGCCGCGCCAGGGGAGGCCCTGGACCAAGGGAAACCGCACCGGGAGGACGGACTGGGGCTGCCAGGACTGCCCGCTGCCGAGTATCCAGGGGAACTGGAGGAGCCGGAGTGGGAGCTGGAGCTGCCAGCAGCCAAGGACTGGGGAGAGCTGGAGGAGCCTGAGCCTGAGGGGGAGCTGGAGCTGCCAAGAGCGGACTACCCCGACGCACTGACGGGATCAGAGGGATCCGGACAAGCAATCGGGTAGGAAGTAGCCCAGGGACAAAGCTGCACAGTGGTGAGTCTGTATCACGGAAGGACCCCGCTGATCCAGTGGCGGGACCCTCGTCCTGCCACCGTCAGGGCCCTGGGCTGGAACGCAGTGGTGTAGGGTGGGCCTGCGTTCCCCTACCCGGCCGAGCCACGCTACTGACCATTACCGGCGCCCCCCTGCCTGAGGGGCGCGCTACTGACCTTTGCCGGCGCTCCCCTGC